ACCAACTTTCAAAAGCTGCTGCTTTTCTGTTGTCATCTTTTAAGCTCAAAATGATCAACCTGCTCTCATTTCCAACCTGTAAAGGAAAAACAGAACTATTTCCCTTCTGACATTCCTTCAAGACCTTCTTCTAAATTTCAACTTGAATTTCCATGGACAGTACAGAATATTTGCAGTATATTTGCAGTATTTCACTTTCAAGCAAGAGCAAGTTGGGATAGGGTTTGAATAACTTGCTGGTTAAATTAATCATCAGCAGTGTAAAAAAGACCCTTTCCAAGTCATTTGTCTCATCTACAGCTCAGCTGAGATTCCCAATTTGTATAATATTTTGTTTTCAGCAAACTATTAAATTAAACTTGCATTATATACTTTTGATTGGCTGCTGTGAAAATCAACATAAGACCAAATGGTTGGATTTTGAAATTTAAACCTGGGAATTTAAGCCCATTTTGGCTAGCTTCTGGCTTTTATTCCCCGAAACGATCACTCAAAGACGAGTATTTGCTTATTTCGACAATAGTTACTAAACAATGTAAGCATTAAACATTTTTCATTTCAGTGCATTTCTCTTTATACCACAACCTCCCTTTCTATTCCTGTCTGATTGGCTTGAAAGCAGCTAAATGGACAAAAAGATGATACCCTGCTGTATCTGTCTTTCATGATATGCTACTGCACATGTAGGTGTACCAAGGTTTCCTGCTGTCGATGTCTCCCAGGAAACCCAAGATCATCTTAAGATGAGAAGAGTTATAAGATTCCACTGCCTTCTTCTGATCATGGCTTTAATGGGAGCCTTTAGGGGTGATGAGTTGAAGGAGTAGGTGGTAGCATTAGCACATGGAGGACAAAAAGAGTCTGGATTGAAATGATGAAAAGAAGCCAGGAAGCTCCCCTTTCATTCGTGGTTCTGTGGGAAGAGTGAAAATAAGATGGGCAGTGGGTGGTGTGTAGAAAGAGGTAATGATAACAGCAGTTGTCCTGTTGTGAAGTAAAAAAGGAGAAATGTCATGAATATGATGAAGCACTGATATGCAGGGAGGAGGAGAACTGTTGGTTATTGAGAGGTGCAAGGATTAATTTGTGTCCTTAAAAAAGAAAAAAATGCTGTTATTCTAATCACTTGATTAACAACTGTGGCACATATTTTTTTCAAAATTCACGATGTGAAACTGCTGCATGTATTGTCAGACTGTTTTTAAATGTGATCTCAAGTGTTCTACCTACTACATATGTGTGTGGACATTTTGTATGCCTTGCATGTGAAACAGGGACCTTTTCACCTGCTTAACAGAAGCTCTTTTAAATCAGTTTAGTTGGTTATGATGAGGAAGCGAGGGCTGTGCTTTGCCTCGAGTGTCACCCTTAAGGGGGGAAAAACAAGCTTATAGATGTGTTTTCTTGTGGGCACAGATTAGTTAGGAGGGTATGTGATTGCTTTTGCCTAATTCGGATGTATGTATTCATCCCTGTGCAGACCCAGAGTACTCTGTGGCTCTTGTACTATTCTAGAGTGGCGCCACACTTTGAGCAGCCTGCTGCAGTGGCACTGGACAAACTGTCTTTGGCATTTAGACATTGTCTGATTACCTCGATGCTTGAATGATTACAAGCTTCTAATGTTTCCTTTTTTGTGAGGGAATTTATATTTTCTCTGTGCTATAAGCCTGCCCAGTCAACAGTGCAAAAGACAGGTCACATCACGCTGTGCAATTTGTAAAGTCTATACTATTCATTAATATCTACATTTCCATTAAGGTTTTAGGGTTTTGAGTTGCTTGGGTTTTCTAAAATACATTAAAAGAACTTCTTAATGGGATATATTTGAGGCAGATATAAAGAAAGAATTGTCAGATCATAGAAAAGTTAGTTTTTAAAGATTTTATAGTGCAGGGGGAGTTTAGGAGGAATATAAAAAAGAAATGCTGTTGTCGATTTGAGTGAAGACATTTTTTATACAGATGTTTGAATAAGGGCTTTGTTTTAGCAAAACATGAATGGGGCACTACAAGGCATATTGAACATTTTTTGCACTATCTAAGTTGTTTCTTAGACTGGAATACTCACATTATGTTGAAGAAACACAAATAACTTAAAGCTAAAGTGGCCTCACCAAACCATGAAAGATCCAGGCAAAGGACATCAGAGAGAAGTAGCAAATTCAATGAACAAAGGTTTCAATCAAAAGTCGGTGAGGGTGAAGGAGAATAAATTAGAAGGTGTAATTAAGAGTGGAGAGATGGAGTGAGACCAAACAGAAAGACCAAGTGTTGCATGAAGGTAACACCATTCAGGAGCTTGACTCAGTATAATTATGGTACTTTTTGTAGCTTGAAGACTCATTCTCCTCAATTGTGTTTCCTCCTTTTCTCTTTGCTTGCATCTTCACTCGATTCTTTCAAACAGCCCCCTTTGTCACATGACACAGTCAAATTAATCATGCTTCTTTACTTAAATGTAACACAAAACGGCTTAGATTCTGTCCAAATCCACCAGCAGCAGTCCCTTTGGCCACTTATAATATCTTGCTTGATCATTATACATTTATCTCCCTTTTTTTCCCCTCTTGTATCTTTAGTGGGTCTCCTTATCTAGCTAAGAGTTTGTCTGTCAATTTGCCAGTTCTTTTCCAATTCTCACTTTTTGTGCAATACTGAAATGCTGGGAAATTGTGAAAAACAATGCTGAAGGATTAAGAATTAAGAATCATGGGAGAAAACCTTCTTGTGCCCTGTCATTTTACATACCTAATCCTTGAAGGTAATAGTTGTAAATACTTGGAATTAGTGTTAATATCCTCACCTAGTCCCTTCAGATATGATGGTTAGATAGTGCTGTAGTTTTATGTGCATGCTGTTGACATCACCCTCCATCTCTTGACAATTAGTATTTATCATTCAGACCTCATTTCCCTGGAGCTTTGTAAACTATGATTGGAGGCAGTAAAATAAATAAGTGCTACACAGAAATGGTGATTAGCGTCTATATGGTTAGGAAATCTGTATATTGAAGGCTTTGGTCAGCATGCTTGTATTCATTTCAAATTTCAAGTGTGTTTTGATTAAATATACTGATGAGTTTTCCTTTAATTTCCTAAAGTGTTGCATTCTTCTTGTAAGTAAATGGCACACAGAGGCTAAAGGATGTTTTTTGCTGTTTATTTCTTGGTATAGACTGAAGTGTCAGACGATTAGCGTAGATTGTGTTTGATTCACCCACCCCTCTGTGAGTTAGAAGATGTGCATAGCTGCCCTATAAAAAGGCTTGGGTTTGCTGCAACACAGGGTGAGTTTGGGGGGTACCACCAGCCAGGGTTTTGTTTTAACAAAAAGGGATGATGCCGTTCACCTGGTAGCTCCTGCTCATAACACATGGTGAATGCATATGCATTCAAACACACGTATTCCCAAATGTAACTTAAGCACAGTCTTTTCTTAAAGGGTCACTTATGACCCTCGAATCAAATCACCATCTAACCAGATGTCAGGAGACCCACACACTGTCTGCTTCTCCTGTTTCCTTTATTTCCCTTGTTGTCACTGTTGATGGTTTCACATTAGAGAACTGCCTGCCAATGTTTCATGGTGTGCCCAAGTTCAAAAGGTAGAACATTTTTTCCCCTCCTTTCTCACTCACACTCCTGTAAACTCTTCTGATAGGACTCATTAGTCAGATTCTTTTCATGAATCCAAGTATCTGTTTGACAAAAAGGCCCACACGTACATTCTTGGCATATTGCCAGAAACGAGCATGAACGTTCACAAGGCACACATGATGCATAGAAAAAACTTCCACTTAAGGCTAATTGCAATGATCTTGCTCCCTCCACTCATCATGTCTAGGGGTGTCAGAAGCGCTAATCTAGCATCCTTCTAAAAGATGTTGATTTTACATAAGGACATTTGGTATTTTTTATGAACCCACAGAGAATTATCCAGTTTTTTGCTTGATGCAGAATTTACTTGATTTCAGCTCATTGTTTGGTCTATGATTTCCCTGGCTTTTGTGTTGTTGTTGCTGCATACAACTGGGATGGGGACGAGAGGCAAACCTGGCACACATGTGGTGGGATTATAATTGCTTTATAGCTCTGAAGAGCCACAGGAGGCCCCTGAAGCAGCAGCAGATGGAGGTCTGTGCTACTTACCTTTTTAAAATGCTTCATCTGAGAAAAAAAAGAAAGAATATTTTGTTTTTATTTGTTTAATTTAACTGTATATTTTAGATTTTTGTCCACTTAAATTGTTAGCACATATTTGGCATCTTTCTTTCTCTTGGTCACATTTTAATTTGGTGTTGGATTCAACTACACATACTTTCTAACATGCAAGTCTCTTAAACCAGTGCATGTGTTTGTTGGTGTCACATTTTATCCAATACTAGTTTATTGATTTATTAACTGACTGACTGACTGACTGAATTTTGCCCCCATTTGAATAATTCTTTGCTTACCAATCTTATTTTAGAGATACGTTTTGTTCTACTGTATTAATTTTTCTATATCTGAAAGCATCGATTCTCTGTGTGTTCTTACTTTTGTACATTTTTGTCATATTATAACAGATTTTTGTACAATGACCTCAACCTTTGCTTCACATCTCTTAAAAATCCAACAGACTGATAAGCAAAAACTTCCTTCTTACTTATCAGTGCAGGCACTAAAATTCCTTTGAATTAAAGGGTTTTCTTGACCTCATGGGATTCTCATTAAACTTTAATCATCTTCACATTGTACTTTTAAAACTAATTTAAGACATTCTTATATTCTAAGTTATTACAAAAATAATACAGGGCACCAAAAATCTGTTTTTGGTTATAAACCTTATTGCCAAGCACATTACACTGAGAAAACCTTACACGTTTTTCATCTACCATCACACTGCATAAAACGTCACTTTGTAAATATCTGCATTCCTGCCTGTTGCATAACTTTTGCTTATATGGTAATGAGACACTCTGTTCCGTACATATATAGATTTTTTTTATTTATATCAATTCCATAGAACAATATTGACTTTGGCAAAATGAAAAAAATAAAGTAAACAACATTAATGGATAGACCTCATCATTACAAACCCAACTCTTTAATAAGCATCAGTTTTGGGTCAGTTTTGGTATGTGTGTGCTTTTCAGTTATTGTGACGTGTGCTTTACCTGGGTCTTTTTAGATTTTTAATGATCAACACTGGTGACTCGATTTTTCTCCCAGACAAAAGGAAATTACACATTTCATATTTTGTGTTTCATTCCTGGTGTCCTCCCCTAAAAATAAACCCTGAAATAAAGTAACACATGGTGCAACAAGTAACATTTTTAGATATTTTTACATATATCTAAAGATATATATATATATATATTTATATATCTATAGGTATATGTATGTATGTCTTTATATAGAGATATATATGTGTGTATTTACTTTCGAGTTTTCTCTTTATTTCTGCAGTTTTTTGTCATTAAGTCACTTTAGTCCATTGGTGCCTTTGAGTTGAGTGATTTCCAGAACTTTATTTCAGCTTCCCCTCTGAAAACATTCACAGTTGGAAAGTAACATGAACCCATCTAGCACAAAGGATTCTAAAGTTACACAGAGTTTGAAACTTGAATTCCCTTCAATCAGTTCATTCTTTCTGACCATGCTACATTGAAATGATCAGTTTAGACTGGCTGTGGTGAGGAAAAAAAAACTTTGATTTGGATGAACCATCTCTAAACTTCAGTATTCTTTCTTTTTTACAGCAGAGTGCTAAGCATTTATGTGCATTAGTGGAGTTTGACTGGATTGCTACTCACAAACATTCATATACACGTGGGAACACGATCTCTCTCGCTGCGTACATCCAGTTCCCATTCCATCAATACATGCACTTATGCACCCATTACTGTTATTCATTTGTCTGGTCTATTATCAGACATGCAGGATGATCTTGTCTTTCAGAAATGCATGGCCCACATGTTCCATCATGTACCCATCTCTTCCATTTTGTAATCCATATTGACTTGATTGTAATCCCAATACTTACTGTCTGTTTGATTTTTTTTATTTATTTATTTTTTTACTCCAGCTTGTATTGATTTTTCATGTCCAACGCATCCTGTCTGTATTTATGCTCCCATAATCCGCAGGCACAGTCAGGTAGAACTCCTTGTCCTGACATAAAGGACACACAGAATTCATGTTCACTGCATTTGAGAAAGTTTCAAAGTGATCATCTGCGTTTTAGTCACAAGATCGGATAACAACGCAGATCCATGTCATCCATTTTTCATCACTGTCTTTGCAGTGGCATTGTTTTTGATCCCATAATGGTGTTTGTGTGTGTGTGTTAGTAGGGGTGGGTGTTGGCAAGCTTATCTCAAGTCAGAAAAATCTTTTATATCACCCTTGCTCTGTTGTTCTATTGATGTTTTGGCCTTCTCTCCCTTTTTTATCAAAACAAACTACTTTAGGTTTTTTGCCGTAATTTTGAAAAATATGGTTACGGATATATAGTTTTTATTTATTTATCTCTTATTGAATGGAAAACTCAGTTTTACTCTTCTCCCTCTCTGAACTCTCTTTACTGTTCTGATCTACAATACTTTTTTTCCCTCTTTTGCCAATGTCATTTTTAACCTTAATCACCCCCAATCAATCTTCTGTAATCAGCATCCCATTCAAACATGGCAGGTACTTTTGCATGAGGGTTTGTGTTGCTTCAACTAAACAACACTTTCCTCCAGATCTTCGGCACCTCTTCCTCCTTTCTCTCGACTCTTGTCTTTTGTTTTCCCAGTAGTAATCTTAGTGTTTGGATTGGTAGTGTTGTAAGCATGGATATATCTCTGTTGATAATCATGAGTACCCAAGATCCCACCAGTCTCACCGTCCTCACTAGTTGTTGAAGAGGTTGTGCTTGTCGTCGAAGCGCACTGTACCAGCATCCCATGAAGCGACTGGCTCCGTCTGGTCCAGATTACACTCAACCGCTTGGCATAACTAACAGCGCCATAGTGCCTGGCAACAGATGCTGCAGCATCACTTGCTAGAGCCACAGAAGAACCCATATCCAGTGAATGCCGCCGTTTGCCAACAGGTCCACTGGCAGGGCTTAGAGGGGTTATAGGGCTCTGATAAGCCTGTGACGAGTTCCATTTGTCCCTGCCTCTAGATGTGATTCTCCAGTCCAACAGCTCTGAGTCTCTCAGGGGTGCAGCCAAAGAGAAACTGGCTCGATTTGTCAGCTCTCGTTCCAGACGGGGATTTGGACGATCCCTAGAACGTGACTGACGGGGTAGCGTTGATGGGGGAGTGGGGGAATAGTACAGGGGAGTTCTATCACACTCTAGGTTCTGTGGCAATGCCTTCTCCAGCTTCCGCTGCCTTATTACCAGTGCCATCTCGCTTTCTGCCCCTGTTGTTGTAGAAACAACCCCTCCAGCTGATAAAAACTGCTCCAGGTTTACTTTAGGCTTTGCCCTGGGCTTCGGGGGAAGTTTTGGAGGCAATGCAGAAGCAGAATTGGCTGTATCTTTTTCCTTGTCTTTGTTCTTCTCATTCCCCCTTTCCCCTCCCTTAGAAGGCAGACCATTGGGAAGGACCACCATCATCATATCTCCAGAGCCATTTGATTGGTAGCATCCACTGCTATTTGCCCCTTTATCTACACCTCCTACACCACCCTGACAGCAGGCCCCACCTCCTACCTCAGTGTTGCTGCTGTGACATATTATATGATCACCATGATTGCAAACACGGTGGCGAACCATGAGAGCCACAGTAAACACTAGAAGAGTCACCACAACAACACCACCAACCAATATGGTAAGTGTCCCGCCCAGAAAGTGGGCTTGGAGAGAGCGGCATGCTGGGTACACATCCTTGGTGGAGAATGAAGTGCAACCTAGAACTTTTGTTGCAGCTAGTGATGTAATTGTGTCATCAAAAATGGCCAGCACACACAGGTTGTAGTCCACACCGGAAACCAAGTTCTTCAACAGGAAGCGATCACTGGTCGATGGTAAGATTCTAAAGAGGGGTTAAAAAGTAAAGAGTTCAGGTTAGTGGAGAGATTATAGAAACTGTGCTCAGTGGTGGAATGTCTAATATATGCAACTCTTTAAAGCTAACTTGAATATTCAGATTTGTTCATTTATTTTTTCAAATTAAGGCAAAAGGGTTGAATATTGATAGGAGTTAAAGGATGGTTGGAAAACTGAAGACTGTATGGGGGAGAGAAAAGAAAATTTGGCTATTGACGGAGACTGGTCCAAGTAAACATGAAAACAGAACTGTCTGCTCATCTGCAGTGTAGTTGGTGTCAGTTGATGTCAGTGTGTGATCATACTGATTTGCCATCGTCAAACCATTTTGTGAACCTTGCATACAAAATGTTTTATTTTAGATTTAAAACCCAGTTTAAGTTAAATGATGGAGGCTTTTGAAACTTCCTGTATTTTTGATTGCATGTCTATAATGAGTGGCTGTTTTATAATAAAGAGCAAAGTACTTCAAATATGTTTCATTTAAGTTTATTTGCAGCTTTTAGAACTAGCGTATAGGAGTGAGGCAAATGGAAAGAGGGAACAATGATTACATGTGGCAGTGAGGACAGGAGGTGCTTGCTTTTTATAATGCGTTTTTGCTTTACACAGTCTTCTGTATTTATGAAAATAGATTTTTTTGTTAGTAAGTTGTGACATGTTATTGTAAAGTGTGTGTGGGAGGCTGTAGCCCACCTCAAGTGTCTATCGATGGGTATGACTTCGCCCTCTGCAGCATCAACCCTCTTGTGCAGGAGGGAAAGTATGTTTTTGGACATTTGTCTGCTTTTGCTTCTCATATGCTATATTTTTCCAATTCCCTTACATTTTTCTCCCTTTTGACATGACGGCAAAAAAGCTTAATTGGACCAAAAGTTGAAAATCATTCAGGCTTGGTTCAGAGGGCTACATTTTTCTAAATGCAATTTTTACATGCCTCAAACATACATGGAGCTTCGCAGATAGCCCTCAAACGTGCTCTTTTATTTATTAATTAAAGATGTCCATAATGGCAGGATTTTACGTTTACTCTTTTCCTCAGTTTAAAATGGAAATTACACTAAATCAGTTAAGAATGGAACTAGTCTGACAATACTCATACATATTTATGTTGATGGGATGTTGATTTTCTATGCTTAATAATGCAAAGTTGGCACAGAAATTAGTAGTACCTACTTCAGGCAAGCTGCAGGGCACACTAATTGACTTCTTTATAGTATTTCAATAGATTAAATATTTTCTTTACAATTTTACTGATATAATATTTGAAAGCCTTGGCAAGGAATGGAGCTGCAAACTCCTACCCAGGCTGTTCATGGCCCTCCAGCCTCTGTTAAGTTCTGTCTCCGTACACTATCCCTGTTAGCCCAAGCACTAACCACATAGCATCATTTACCATCCAAGGTCACTCTTTTCTCCTTTTTATGATTTCCTTTCTAGGTAGCCCTACACCTTCCTGATCATTTCTCTGCCACCTCTCTTTATTTTTCATCTCTTCCTCACCACTCTGGATATTCTCCCCAATACTTTATCCCGCATGAGACTGAACTACTTTTTTAGCCGTCTTTTGCTCGTTTATTAACCTGCCAGCAGCAATTAAGTAAGATATACATGGTCCTTTGACACATTCCCAAATGCCTGCCACCCCTCACTGCACAATGAGTTTGCATTCATCATTATCAATGTTGTGTACACACATGCATGGCAAATGCAATTCTGTTGATCTCTCACATAGTGCTCATGTGACTTGTTTGTGTGTGTTTTAGGGTACTTGTGTGAAAACAAATTGCGATTTGTCAGCTTGTTTTTGAGCGGCTTTTGTGTCCACCTATGGCAGTTTGTACTTCCTGGCATACAAAGAGCATGTGTCTGTTTCTGTGCTTCTAATTATGGGTAAACCCAGCTAAGGCATACTCTAATGCAGATGCTGAAGGAAAGTAGAAGAGACAAAGGAGTTCTTTGTTCAAGCTGGTGACACAGAAATGAGTATTATTAGAACCCAAGAGAGTGAGAGAAAGTGTGATCGTGGAGGGAACGACAGAGCAGTGAGATCCAGTCCCCTGTTAATATTTCTATTTCTTTTTTCACATTTCTCTGAATCTCCCTGCCTCTTCCTCCCCTCAGTCAATGCTTGCATGTCTGGTGGTCTAACACCGCACAAAAGTGGGCACAGAGGGAGAGGAGAAAGAAAGTCAAAGAAACAACAAAGTAATTATCTCCTCCTCTTGACATCTAAGCTGCTCCTATTTTTTTCCCTTGGTTACTTCCTTTGGTGATTTGCCCTTTCCTCTCTTTTCACTTGTTATTCAGTGGACTGTTTACTGTTGTGTTTGCTGTCTCCTTCAATTTGTTTTCTTCTTTCTGTTTTCCTTTACCCGTCTCTCTGTCAATACCCCCCATTTTCTTTAACCTCACTGTCTGTTTAGCTTTTTCCTGTATCTAGTCATCTCACTTGCATCATTGTCATTTACGGTCTTTGATTTCCTTCCACTCTGCCTGATTTTACATTTCCACGATTATTATCCGTCCTTACTACCTCATCCTCTCTGATCCTTAAATTGTTCTCTCCCCATAATTCCTTCTTATTTTTTTTTGTATAATCTTGGTGGAAGCATTCTTTGCCCTCTTCCTCTCTTTAACCTTTTGTATATAAAGATGACAACCCCTTTTACTTCCTCCTTATGCTGGCAGTTTAAGCATATACATGTATATGACATAGTTTAACCTTTAATAACATCAGCCCTTGGGGTGTAACTCTCTACCATGTCTTACCTGTCCTACTTTTCTTTACCATAATTTTTTGACTGTGGTTACTTCCTCTGTGCTGAGCCCTGTGGTTGTCTCTCCCCATATTCCTTTCTATCTCTGCCCCAGCAGATGCTCTAATCTTGTTTCTAGTATAATTTCTAGTACCAGTCTCCATGTTAATATAGAATGCTCGCATTGTATTTCCCAGCAATATCAAATTCAAGAATACAAACTATTTAAATGGGACATGACAGAAACTGAAAGCATCTCAGGATGTCCGATCTCAGCAGTGGGGTAACGATGGTATGTAGCAGATACCATCTTATTGGAATGTGTAAATGTCCCAGTTTAGTAATCTTTCAAATATTAGTCAATCCTGCTGTATAATTAGTCGGAGCAAATGAGTGTATTGCCATTCACCTAATTTTCAGGTTCTATTTCTTCAGTTCCCTCCCCTCCTGTGACTCATTAGTGATGTTTTTCATTGTCTACTTCTCAGCATGCCTTTCCTATGAATGCAAAACTTTCTCCCTGCTCTTTATAATTGTGCACCCCATAGTCTTTGCAATCATTAATCTATTTTTTTTTTTTTTTACAAATCATTGTTTCTTTTCCAACTTGTGTCTAATATATAAACTCGGTTCTTGTATATGTGATTAATATCTCATTTCCTAATTAGCTTAAATCCATCGATTCTATACATAAGACGTAAACATATTTACAATAAAAGCACTGACTGCTGCTTACGACACCTCCAATAAAGTGTGCCGATTTTAAGAAATACTCCTGTAACACAGTCTTGCCATGAAACTCTGAGTGCTTGGATGTGCTGTGATCCTCATTTTGATTTGTTTCTGACATGCAGAGAAGAGCCTATTCAACTCCGTCAGGAATTCTGGGGTTGACATTGTTGAAACATTTGCATAAGTAGGTTGTTCAATAGCACAATTAAGAATTATTCAACATATTTCTGGCCAGCTTCTCTTTAGAAAGATTTTAGTTTAAAGTGTGAGAGAAAGGCATCTCAGCATTGTCAATAAATGGGAAATCTTTGTTTTTTAGCTGATTAGGGCACACCCCTTGTGCCACTGGAGCATTGTGACAAAGCGCCAGTGCCCTGAGGCTCAGGTGATGTCACTGCGGGAACTAAGAGTGATGGTGGACACAACCTGCACCTCAGTGTGTCCCACCTGGCACCACCTCAGCATTTCAGGATACTGCTGTTGCTTAGCGCACAGCCGACCTTTTAAAAAGGATTTAATCTGGAGGTTGTGCTATGTGCTCTGCTTTTGTGCTGTCCATATAAGTCACTTGTACCATGTTTTATCATTTCACAGACTATCCATGTTTTTTTTGTTCCCTTGCCTCCCGTTCTTAAATCCTGTTTTCACCCTGTCATTCTGTCTCTCTACATCTTCAGCCCCGTTCAGTGGGGTTCTTGCTTTCTCCAACTGCCAAAGCAGACATAAAGCAGCAGTCGCACAACACAGTCTGACTACAAATCTGTATGACAGATTTGCTAGCCTGCTTTTGCTTGACTTTTTCAATGACACTCAAGCTGTACAAATACAGGTTGGGATGAGCAGTACAGGGCATTCTTGTAAGCACCTTGGAATGCTTTATCTTAAAATCTATTCTATTTATTTCCCCCGGTTCTGTGATTTAACTTAAAAAGCCTTTAATCCATCCTCATGGTTCAACTGTGTGCCTCTCATTTATAGATGCATGTCTGATAATGACCACTGCCCCTGTTCCTGCGGTTCTGAGACAGTCCCACCTGTGCCAGGGGTGGTTTGAGCAGTTGTTCAAATAGCAATCTATTGACTCCCTCTGGAATATTATTTGACACTCCCCCCCCCCCCCCCCCCCATAACTTTTTCATGGTAGACATTGCTATTTCTCCACCATCCCCTTATTGAGTTGTCCTTTTAGTAGCTTACCTCATCTCTTTCTCAACTTGCTTTCTGTCAGTTTATCTTCTTTCAGCCCCCCATGCTCGTCACAATCATTCTGGCAGAATGAGGAAATATCCCATGTCATAGCTCTTCCTGAATCCCTCTCCTATCATCTTCTAAGATCTCCGAAATTTCATTCCATCTAAATATCCACCCATATCATCCCTTCTTACAGTTTTATTTTCTATCAACTCTACATCTGTCTCCCTTCCTCACTTCAACCCTTCTCAGTACTGGTTACAGCTTAATGTCATCTTTGCAACACCTTAGAGAAACAACAGTGAAAGCCCATATTAAGGCCAAATTAAATCAAACACACAAATGCCATGTGGGAAGCCCCTGCTCAGCCCACCCTAGTTTTCTTATTCTATTCCCTCACTGTTTTGCTGTGGCAATAACCTCTACTCATGAATATTACATCAGCTTTGGTTGTGAATTCAGAGACAGTAAATAAGAGTGTGAACGGATGGTTAATTTAATTGAATAGGAAAGCAATGCTGTAGATGGCAAGTACACTAACGAGCTAAAATTCAAGCATATATATTCAAGGATCCAACATCTTTGCTATTTGTGCCTCTAAATGTATTTCCTGTTTGTCAGTCAGACATTTTTAATTCTCTGGAGGCCTGGACTGTTGGTTTGTGAAGATTTGTAGGGATATGTAAGCTTTAAGAAACCACAGTGTGAAACTATCTTAAATTCTGAGACACAGATACTACACTTTCATTTATTTATTTGTGTTATTATTATTATTATTGTGTTATTTGTGTTTTTTGTTGTGGCAAAAGCTTTCCTCTTTTTCTCGAATCCAAACATAAGCTCCCCCCAAAAATACGCTCTGTTGAAAATAACCTGATGAAAACATCATGCAGAAAGTCCAAACAAAGTGGCTGCTAAATTTGGCAACACCAATAACATCATACCATCAGTATATGAATTAACTAAAGTTGTCATATCTGTGCTGAGAAAAATGCTTTTGTAGGCTTTAATTTTTCAAAGCATAAGACCTTTTGGAGAATTATACTTGACAGCTTTTTTTCCGTTCACATTTAATCTCTTTTTGCACGTATTCATAAATAAGTCATTGTTCACCTGTAGAGTCCATCACATCCTGATTAATTATTAAGTACCTTTGCCTCTCTATCCCTTAATTTGTGTCCCCATTCATCCTTCCTTCCAGCTATGTGCTTGTCCATGTCATAAAACGGTTCCATAGCAGAAGTGTCATGTTGTACTGGATAAATATTTAAGAGGTTTTGTATTAGAAAAAATGCCTGACCTTTTTACTTTAAAAAACAACAACAAAAGGATGACACTGATTTAGGGGGGTACATATGAAATATCCAAACAGACATCTATTCTTAAATTGACCACGTCAAAGGCTCCAGCTGTCTGCATCGTGTTGTAAGTGTTTGACTCACCTGTAGATCAGGGTCTCGTCGGCAGTGCAGTTATACTGTATCTGATACATCCAGACAACATTAGCTTCAGACAAACGCCCTAACTCCCACTGGACCTGGGCTGAGGTTGATGTCACTCCCTGTACTCCAACTATCCTTCCTTCCTCCTCTTCTCCATCATTGTCCTCCATGCTTCCTCCATCAGACCCTTCCCCATCTGGGGCCTTTCCACTGTCACCTTCTGCTATTTCTCCATCTCCTCTTTTACCATCCTCCGTCTCGCCTGCACGTGCTGCCCCGTTGGTAATCCCATTTTTCCCGGTGCTGATGTCCGACGAGCCCGGATCTGTCCGTAAAATCCCATTGGTCACATTCCTGTTGTTCTTGGCGTTACCCCCTGTGGTTCCACTGGCCCCACCACGATGAGGCAGTGGGATTATTTTCAGGTCCACAGTTGCAGTTGCTTCACCTGCTGCATTAATTGCAATACATGTGTATGCTCCATCATCCCGGGCAACAGTTACCAAAATATCCAAGGTCCCATTGCTGAAAGAACTGGTCCGGGATGAGTTTGCAACAATGCGATCATCTGGTGAAACCCAGTGGATGACTGGCTCAGGATCTCCAATTGCACGGCATTTTAGCGTGGCACGCTGGCCCTCAAGCACCCACAACTTGTGGGTGTGACGAGTGATGAGTGGTGGCTCACAAGTAAACTCCTCCTCAGGAATTGACCAGAAATACCTGAGGAACAGAGTAATGAAACAGGCAATCAATATGAAAGATTGTTGGATAGTAACTAAAAAGTTTTTTTTTTTTTTTTTTTTTTGTCCAACTGAGGATTAAAACTAGTTATTCTTAACTATCTGATGAGTGTGAAAAAATTGTATTCTCAATAATCCCCTGAACAGAACTGGAAAAAAAGTTACTGGGCATTTGTTGGTGTTGTTTCTTCTACATGAATGTAGTTTCTCTTCAGATAAGAGATTCTGTAGGAGGTTTTAGATATTAGAATAAACACTCCATCCTTGTGAACTATTAGAAAGTGTTTCTTTTACGTATTTCTAATGAAATTTAAGTATAACAATGTTATTCCCTTAATGGGATTGTGCTTAGTAGAAATTCTTAACTAAATCTTGCTGGAGTGATTAACCTTGAAAATACTTGGTGAAATACTGGATATAAAAATTATGGCAAATCATCTACTGGAAACAAACACTCACCTTCCAGCCAGGTGTGGAGGAGTGGCACAGGTCTCCATATCGTCTCCTCTGATAAGCCGCCTTAACCATAGCAGCTCACAGTTACAGTGGAGCGGGTTCCCTCCAAAATTTAGGCTTATGACTGCATTGTAGGGTGTGGGACTTATTGCTCCTGTTTGAGACCTGAAAGTGTACAATAGAGGAATTAGTACACTGAAACTGGATATATTCAGATTGCATACTAAGCTAACATGCTCGGTTTGCATATACAGACATTAAATATTTTAGTGGTTCCATTTAGTGGCCTATAATTATAGACCTAGAAACAGTTTTATATAGGCACATACAGTAATCTAATAGTTAGCCAAAGAAAGGGTTGAGGAGTGAATTGAATGATGAGAACTTTGCAGAATACTTATACACCAACGATTTGTGCTGCAGTTTCAGTGAGAGAGGTGATTGCTCGCTCACAATAATCTCTTGTGACATGTCTCAACTTATAATGAGAAATATATTAAAAGCTACCTTGCAAAAAAAGGATCAGGAGGAAGAGTTCGGAGCCTGTTGGAGGTCATATCCAGCCGTGCAAGCTTATAAAGTTCTCCAAAGACTCCTTCTGCTATGTGGTCAATTAAATTATGGTCCAGGTTCAGAGTGTGCAGGCTGGCCATGTTCTGAATGGAGTCCCAAGGTACCCTGCCGAAAAAAGAACATAAAGTAGTTTGAGATTCTTCCAAATGAATTTCTTTGGTAAACTGTTTTATTATAGATCACATGATCTCAGGGGAACAAAGACATAAGAGGAATTCTGTGGAAAATAATGAAGGTAAACTTAACACAGGTTTATTTGATCATTTTAAAAGTTTTATTTGCGTATACATTTAAAACTATTGGTTTTCACAATTTGAAACTAAAGAAAAGGACAGCATGAATCACTTATTTTGTCACACCTGCAATACTGAATAAAAACTGTGTAGATTTTTCAGATTATTCAGAATTCGATCTGTGTGCTTAGTGTTTAGCTAGTGTAAAATGGAACTCGGGCAGTTCTTTTAGGCTGCGGAAATGTATACATTCTGCTGATGCAGATAGCAAGAAGATGAGATGTCTGATCAGATAATTAAAACATGTCAAACAGAACAAAGACTAATGCTGTTGAATTCCTCTTTATGCAGTCGTAATAACGGCTATTTTTCTGATTTAATTAAGAATAATTGTGAAGTTGTGAGAATATTCTTTGCCCACATAAAGATGTGGGAAAACTTAACAAGTCTGAACTCTATATCAGTTACAGACCCACACACCCACGCCTAAGAGATGCCCTGATTTCTTAACTTGATTTGAATCCAACAAAATTAAAGCTGCCTCAAATTTGATGAAATTTCCTCCGCCTGCAGTGTTATTCCTCTAGCCTCAGCAGTTTCATCTGGTTTAACTTCATCTCTGCTGACTCATGGAAGTTCATACAAGCTGTTGCCACACGTGTGTGTGTGTGTGTGTGTGTGTGTGTGTGTGTGTGTGTGTGTGTTTTTATTTAAACTAGAACATTGAAGTTCTTGTGTGTGGATAATTATAAAAATTCACCTTCTGAGATTATTATAAGACAGGTCAAGGTCTTCTAAGGTAAGCAAAAAGTCATCGAAGGCTTGGACATGAACTTTAACCAGCTGGTTGGTGTTGACAATTAGATGCTGCAGGTTGACCAACCCAGCAAGGTCTCTGGGTCCAAGTGTTGTCAAGCGATTACCTTGAGAAAATATGAAAAATATTACCATCTTCTTAAACTGTCCCCATATTAATCTATTAGAACAACAGCATGATGGTTTTCCCAAGAAAATAGTTGCTCACCATCTAGATGCAGGGAGCGCAAACTTTCCAGGTCAGCGAAAGCCATTGGTCTAATTAGATGGATTGTGTTCCTCGAAAGAGTCAGATCAACTAATCCAGTCATGTTGACAAAGTCACTCCCGCCCACTTCAGTTATGAAGTTGTCAGCCAGTCGGAGCTCCACTGTGCGCCGGTCAACATGTGGTGGGACAAACAGAAGGCCCTTATCGGCACACAGTGTGCTGAGTGACTCTGAAAGGTTTCGACACACACAGTGGAAAGGACAGGCCGAGACCATGCCCCACGTCTCCCCAGCTCCAATCAGAGAAGGTAGCAGGCAGCATGTGACTAGTGTCAGCCAGTGAAAGGAGAATGTTGTAGAGTCTGAATGTGTTCTCTTCGTAGCTCTTGGCCAGGCGCAGTGGATGAGATGGGATGAAGAGGGCAAAGATGAAATGAGAAGTTGGGGGAGAAGAGAGAAAGAGAGTTTTGCTGAGGGGAAAAGAGAGGTGAAGGTGAAGCCCTGTGCTCTTTGCTCAGGGCAGAGGTCTGTGGGGGGTTGGTGTGTTTTTCTGTGGGAATTGAGGGGTGGGGGGTCAGGCATGGTAGAAGGCCTGGCGATTCACAGACCTACAGAGAAAAAGGAGAAAATGTCAATCACCTTTTATCATTATAAACTGGTCAGGCATTGTTTTATAAGAGACATTTGATGCATCTATTTGTGTCTGGTTTCCTGTTTTCTACCCACTTTGACTAGATCACTTGTAAAAAAGACTCATCCCGCACACATGTAAATTTCACTCTGCTGTCAGGCCCACAGGCTCATAATCCAGTAGCAAAATAAACCATATCTTAGAAAAGTAACACTACAGATGGTTTGTTTCTGTTATTCTTATACTCTGGACCTAGAGGAACATACCTCAACACAAGCCCATTGCCTAGCAACAACATCCCAAAGGACTGAATACAGCCAGTTCCCATGGTAACTATTACTGAGAAACATCCATGTGGACCAGAGTTAAAAAACGTGTCCTTCTTAACACTGTTGGTCAAGGAAACAAACTGGATCATGACTGTGATTTGCTATAGAAAATGAGCCACTGCCCCTGATTGGCCTGCTGTACAGTTGTTACAGCAAATATTACCTAGCTACACCAAGTGGGACAGAGATTGTTAGTAAGTCATATTTGTGGTGAAAGATGAGATGGTGAGTCAGATACACAAACGGCTGCTATTTAGAGATGGGGCTGTTGGGAACGGAAAGCGTGGTGAACATACTGATATACAGTAAGGTACCTGAAACCTAACACTTTGAATCACAACCAGGCCTAACCGTACATCATGCTGACTTTTCAGGTTGATACAAATAGCTACTTAATAGTTTCCATTAGGTCCTAGCTGTGCTCTTCAACACTCTCCGTTTTGAGGCAGTTTTTATTGAAGAAGCAACATTTTCCATTCTCGTCCTTTCTCCGCATGCTGTGGTCTGCTCTCAAAATGTGAGCTCTACATTAGGGAGGCCCAGGTGTCGTACCCCGGGCTCCCCTCTTCTTTAACCTTATGTTGAAGTGATAAGGAAGGAAAAAAGGAGATAATAACCCCATCTCCGGAAACGATTACACAAATTAATCTCAGTTCTCTTTAGGAATACAGTAAGCATTTCGAAGTTGGATTTTAGCAGTTGACTATATTTTTGCAATGGGAAGTTAGCCACTGATTATGTCTGCGGCCATGTGTTTATATATTTCCTGCACACCCGCACACAGTCATCTGTGTCACAAAGGTCTGTGGTAACATCCAGTCTTCTGGGCAATAAAGTTTTATATTGGGAATCAGAGCGATTCATACTTGACTTTACATGCTTAGTATCAGTGGCCTGCCTGCTTCTATTCATTCTTTATTTTTTACACCCTTATCTCCACACGTAAGTCACTCGGTCTTGTGAAGCCCTATATGCTATAGTTTTTTTTTTTCTAAACTTGCCAAATTTCTTCCTCACCTTTTTTGCAAAACCACCATCATCCCTTAGCTTCTCTTATTCCTCATTTACTATCTTGCCTTCCATACTTCTACCTGCACCTCTTGTTCTGTCACCCTGGCACACCTTCCTATTTCGAGCCTTTTGGGTCTCTTGCTACAATGTAAATGTCTGGGTTTTTTTCCTTTATGCCTCATTCACCCATTCTTTTTTCAGCCTTTTCTGCCCCTGAGGCAACCCGAGTGGACAATGTTATCAGTCACAAGTCTTCCTCACCATCTTTTCCTCTGCATCTTTTTGTCTTGTCTCGCTGTCGCTGACTCTGCTGCTGACCTCCATGTCTCCTTGCCTCTCCGGCTCTTACTTTTAGTCATACATTATGCACTGGCTTGTGAATTCACTCACCTCACATCCAACCACATGTGACTTTGCCGTTTTACCCCTGTAAGATATCTCTCTGACACATGCTCCTCCTTGAATTTTTTGCTCTTCCTGCCTTCATTTCTCTCGCTCCTTCATCTCTTCTTCCAATCTGCTGTATCTTCATCAGTCTTTCAGAATTTTTTTCTATATCTTACTTTTTTTCATCTATCTCCCTCATCTCTTATATCTCCTATTGGGGAGGGGACCTCTTTTGCAACTGGAGCAGTGCAATGTGGAAGCTTTCCCACATGCTCACACAGAAAGTAGAATGTAACCGATCCCCTCACTTGCTGATCGATCTGACCCAAAGAGATGGATTGCAGTCTCTCCAATTAGTTTGAACTCACCCCTTTGCTCGTTTTCTTTTAGGCTCGTCCTTCATAGTCTACTTCCACTTTCTTACTATTTTCATTTATTATTTTCCCAAGTATAAAGGTTATTAACTGGGAGTGTCACTTCATCAAGCAAGATTTTTCTTTTTCCTCAGAGCTTGAGGGAAACAAATTGTGACTCAATAGGCTGTAATTTGGCATTTAATTACCGCTTTGAGATGAAATAGCAGGCAATTGTGCAAAGTGTATTATCTTTGGAACATGTAACAGTGGTGAAAAAACTGGAAAGCATCTGTAAAACTCTTTGTGTCCAACATGCCCATCTGTCTTTACAAACCTTCTCTTTATTTTGTTTTCAAAGATATTGTCAAAACATTTTCTTTCTTTACGCTTAATCACAATTAGATATATAGATATTGCTCATCCTAGCTACAAGTGACATTTGTTGAGCACAAAATCTTGTTTGATTTCCTCTATATCAGACTTCAAGTGTCAGCCACATGCCTGGTTGCATATAGTGATTTTTATCGCTGCCTTGATGCCTCCACAAACCTTTCGCTAGCATTTGCAATTTCAAGAACATAAAAAAAAGCTTTTGGCTACAGTTTTATTCATCTATAATGCTCTTGGGTGCTATGTAAAACTTTTTGAACTCTGATTTGATCTTGCTTTATCTTTGCCTGCTTTTCTGCTCTGTTCAATGCGCTGATGCAATGCTAGAATGTCCCCCTCTGAAGATCAATACATTCTCATCTTACACTCTGTACTGATGCAGCATAAAGGTGCGGTAGTGAATGCATGTGTGCACCGTACCATCAACCAGCTGCCGCAGTTTCTACATTTATTTTGTACTGTAGATGTTGACTACCCACCTTGCTCGTCTAGCTTTGTATGTCTTCATGTTTTTGAATTATTATGATGCTTTTCACCACTTAAGAACCCTCCAGCTTGTGGTCTTTTGCTGAATTTGCATAAAGACGGAGACCTCACATCCATTCTCAGTGTCTGGCTCTCTTCTGGCAGAAGCCATTAAAATGAGCCTTCTATATCAGACCTGCCTCTGTTGTTTATTTGAGAAACAGAGGCAGTGTGAAAAAAGGTTAAGGGAAAAATTATTGGAAAATAAGTGCTAAATTTGTCATTTTTAATGGAGTTTAGTTTGCTAGATGTTAATGACACAAACTTATTGGCGTGAGAACTGTATCTACATCTTCAGCTTTGTGTTATACCTATTTAATTTTGGGTTACTCTTTACTCCACCCCACTAAACCTGTAACCCTCCAGAGAGCAGAAAGGGCAGAAAGGCTGCATGAGATAAGGGCAAGAACATGAGCTAAAAGCTCTGTAGTTACTTCATTTTCCAAAAGTTTCTGTTTTAGCGCCTATGGTAGCCGAAGGAGCTTAGTACGTAGCTGCTTATAGTATTAGAATGATAGAACCGTTTTTTTTTATAAATACTCAGTTTTGATTGCTGAGGATCATTGTGAGATGCTCCAAAGGCCAGGCATTATAAATGTTCAAAAACGGTGCTTGTGTATTTGCATGCAGATCTGCAGTACTGCACCTTGGCTCGTGTGTTTATGCATCCACTCCTGCATCCATAAATGTCATTAGCTCATAATCGACTTAGGGAATGTTTCAGTGTTTATAAACAAGGGGATTTGCATTAGCTCTCAAAAGCCACTTATCACAAGCCCAGTAATCCACAGATCACTGATAGAAAATATTTAAATAAAGACACAAGCATGAAGAGCTCGATAGTCTGACCAGGTTTGACTAAATGGAGGATAACTTGCATTATTTGATCAGTAACACCTAAAGAGTTGTCCTTAAGCTCAGCTGGATTGTTCTGTTATGGTACACAAGTTTTCAGACGCAAATGCGTAGATCAAAGCTTTTCACACACACCGTTTCTTTCGATTCCACAAAATCTATCCAGAATGCACTCTAACTCATAATCCAGGCTCTCGATATTAGGTGAGCACTTGCATAGTGAAAGAACCAGGAGCACACCAAAACAGTCTTCCCACACACTGATAATTATACAGAGACCAACACATAGACGCACACATTTTCTCTCTCTCGTCAAGAAACAAAAGAACGCCCACATAGCCTCTTCTTGCAGCTGTCGTGTGTACTGTAAGCCCACTCATCCTTTTGATATTACGGCTCCTCCATCATATTGTTCTTTGTAATAGGCAGCCAGAGGATAGAGAGAGGGGTAAAAATTGGATATGGAAACATACCATGAATGCCAGGAGGGAGGGCAAAGAAAATGGTTGGTGCATAAAATGGAGGAGGAAAGAGTACAAGATTAGAGGATGAAACCATTAGTGTAAAGGGCCGAGGAGAAGGGAAACGGAAGATTGGCAGTTTGAGGAAGATGGAAAAAGGATAAAGAGTTGATGAGCATGAGTGTGTTAAGCAGAGGCATAGAAATATTTAAAGGTGATAAATAGGTGAGGCCTGCCATCCATCACTGTCAGAGGGATGGGGGAAGGAAAACTGGATTTGTTTATGGAGAGATGTTGAAAATAACTTTGAAAGGAAACGAAAGTACAAGGCTTGGCCAAAGAAAGGGCGAAAAGGTGATGTTTAACAATGGGAGGATAAAAGAGACGCAAAATGACTACCAAAGCTGAGGAAGTTAGAATTACGGAAAAAGTAGATGTCCCTCCCACTGGAGAAGCAAGGCCACTGTGTGTGCTTCAAACACACTAAAAATAGGTCACCGTGGACAAGAGTTGAAGCCCACTCCCTGAGGTGAGAATCCTCTGTTTAACCCATTCATTCACCAGACCTCATTATTTAAGGATTTTGTTGCTCCTACTCTTCATAACCTCAACTGCTCTAACAAAAAAAATAATCCACTGGTCTTACTCTGTCAGGGAGTTTACTC